CACTATCATCAATGGCTATTCTACATCAGCAGCTAATGACTCGGAACTAGATGCTTATTGGTGGAAGTCGTCTGCAAAGAGAATCCTTTTACCTTTGTGAGTGACTTCAAAACAAAATTCGGGTTGTCACAGGAAGAAAGACGAGCATAGGTTCGCAATATTTGGGTCAAGACTCCGGAATGAGAATAATACTGTCTTGTTAGGGCTCTTTTCTGCCGCAGAATTTTTCATGGCAACGTCATCTCCGTTTCCCTTCAGGCAAAAGTGCGTTCAGTCGAAAGCTGGAAAAGAAGATCCGTCACCGTTTCGGAGGAAGGAGGAAAGTTGTATAATATCATCACGTTAAAAGAGCTCCTGCCACTTTTGAATGATGCTTAATGCTTCGAACAAGGAACGTGGAACGAATTTTGAAAGCCACCAAAGATGCGTAAGAGGAGGAAAGCGCTGAAGCTGGATCTGACTCATTACATATTGACGAGTAGCCAATACCAGGCAGAACAACTTTGCAAGAGATCTTTAGATGTACAGGTACTCGAAACGGAAGCAGCAAAGAATTAAAGAGCCTAAGGAGGTTCAGGACCTTCTCGACTATCGTTTTCGCACACACATAATCAAACGGACCACTCGCACATCTTCGCAATGATGGAATCAATCACGAAAATTCTGCAGTCTTCTGCTCATCAACATCCGTTAAACCCCGCTATCCTCAAGAAGAAACACCACCACAGATTCCACCTGCTGAAGTACGCGCCACAGTCCAGACCATGAAGACAGCCACGGCTCCTGGACCGTAAACGGACCAAGTTTTGGCCCATTTTTACGACCAAATGACATCGCCTACACGAAATTCTTGCGTCTTGCCTTTAGAAGAAAAGGATCCCTGACCTGTGGAAACCTCTCAAACAATATCATAAGCAGGGCGACAGGGAGAATCTTCAACCGTTCAATGTGTCTACTGAGCGTGCCTTACAAGCTCTTTACAAAAGCCAAATCTGAAAACAAGTTGGGTGCCATTGAGGCGGTGGATCGCATCCAGACGTTTTAGGGATTATCCAGGTTTGCCGAGAGCATTACCCAC